GGTACTTGAAATTTAGGTACTTCAAATTGTAAAGTAAGGTATATCAAGTATTGAATATGTATAATTAGTCAGTAAAGACACGCCCAAAGAAGCCATTGTATGGCGAAACACGTGTTGCGTTTTTATAAAATCGTTTAGTGAAAATCTCACAATAAAGTGTTTTTTGCATACGTCACAAAATATTTTTTCAATTCTAGTCTTCACAATTTTTTCATATATTTATGTTAAACTTAATAATGGAGTAATAGGACTATAATTTTTTATGTTTATGTTAATGGAAATTCTGTTGTTATACCATTTATTTGTATTTGATGAACGTTTGCGAACTAATACCACTTCAGCAGGAGATTTTTGAGTTTTAAGCTTCTTATTGTATTTTCAACTTCAATTTGATAAATGAAATTAGGATATCAGTAGGATTATTATTTGAGATTCATCATCATTAGTTAATATATTTTCCGACAAACATCAATAAAATAATTCGAAATTAATAAATGATGAAAGTTTAGGTGCATACGATGATTTTATTATTTTCAAACATTCACATATATATTATATAATAGTTCATATCAATATATTAAACATTTATCAAAATACATTTGTGTAAAGGGATATGATCACTCGGTTGTGGTTACCCTGATGAAGAAATGACAATAATTATCATGCATATATAGTTCTACACTGTATTCATTTGAATATTTCTCATTTGAAGCATTCCATATAGAATGCTTTTGAAAGTATCTGAATTGGTATCTATCAATTATAATCTCATCTCAAATGGCTCTCCGTTTACTATACATACAGCAGGCAACTTCCTCTACATACTTCCTATAAAGTGTCTCTAAATAAAATAATAATGACAAAGTTCTAAAAGGTAATTGAAAAAGGATAGGTATACTCTGCCTGCATTTTTGTCAAGATAAATGTCTCTCAATAAATTGATGGATGTAGCCATTAATACGTGGTAGGAAATCATAATGAAGAAAAAAAGAATTGAAACTTTCTATGTTTTTTACCACTTTCATTTGTAACTAACGTTACTGCAGTTTCGTCCTATAAGAACATTTTCAAACTTAGTTTAATGTATAAGTTTGAAAATGTCCTTAGTTTAATGTGTAAGTTTAAAAATGTCTTTATAGGACGAAACTGCAGTAACGTTAATTACGAATAAAAGTGGTAAAATACATAGAAAGTTTCAATTCTCTTTTCTTCATAAATGTCTCTTCTATAGTTCAAAACGAGTGTTCCGTACCAGCTGTCCTCATACTACCAACAAATTCTGAACCAGTGCAAGCTGAGGATTAACCAAGTCTTACCTCTCAATCTTACGACCTCAATCTCGAAATTCTGAATTTAGTCTCTAAATTTCAACCTAAGACGCAAAATTGACAACAAAATATATTTACAAAGGATAAAGACATGAACGTTTTTTGATAAGACACCCAGGATATTTTTTGTACAATTTTTCAATATCTGATAATTCCGGAAAGATGTTAAGCCTAGGTGTATATCCAGAAAGTTCATTAAATTCCATTATAAATTCAAATCAGGAATTACGAAATCAATCTCCAAATTTCGAATTAATTCCCTGAATTTCGACTTAGAAATTTCGAAATAAATCCGAAATTTCGATATTGAAGTCGTAATTTTCAGATTGAGGTCGAAATTTTGAGTTCAAAATCAACATTTCATGAATAAACTTGAAATTTCGAATTTGAATTCAAAATTTTGAAATCAATATCAAAATCATGAGTTTCAAAGTCGAAATCTCCAAGAAACAAATGATAAAGATATGTGGACTTTCTGTGAATATGCCTTCCTTTAATTTTCAGTTGGTCACTCATATTTCAAACATTTGTGCAGGTAACCACTGAATAATCCATATCTATAGTAATACATCAAGGAGAGCAATGCAATAGCACTTGGCCTTGGCTTGGCTTGGCTTGGCCTTACACTTGATTACAAGCTCACCTGGATCCCTCACATTGAAACTCTGCGACAAACTCCGCAGAAATTGCTATGCTATGTCAAACCATTGCAGTAAACAAGTTTTGTTGAATCTGTACTATGGATCAATACACTGTCATATACGATATGGAATACTGAACTGGGGCACTGGATCGTCTGCAGTGAGGGTTTTTACACTACAGAAATATGCCATCAGAACTATTGCTCGTATAGGATGGAGACAATCGTGTAGAAACATTTTCAAAGAACTCAAAATTCTCACCGTTGCGAGTATTTATATTTAAGAATTATGCATAATATACATGTACAAGAATGGTCATAATTTTATATCTAATCAGCATAAATACCCTACCCGCTCTCAAAACTTATTAATACCCCATATGCATCGAACCACCATATACCAAAAAAGCCACCTTTTTCTTGGACCAAAATTTTACAATAAGTTTGATGATTCGGTAAAGAATGCGCCAAATGTCAATATTTTTAAATAAAGACTGAAAGCTGCTCTCATAGAAAAAAATTGCTACACCTTTGAGGAATTTTAGGTTAGGTGTTTTTTTGTCTTCTTTAACGTTCTTGTCACTATCTGACATTACCATTATTTTAAACTATCTAATTATAACCATGACCATCAATTCTACTATTGTAGTATTTCCCTATTTTTATGTGTATACATATATTTGTCATCTTTTTATCTCCATTCTTTTAAAATATTTACATAAATACTTGAGTTTAAACATATGTATATGAAAAGCACAGATTCTTATGATATTTTCCTTGTTATTGTACTGTCATGTACTTTTTAACAAGCGAAATAAATGAACGGATTTAGATAAAACTTCACATAAATACAGTTTATACATCAGAATAACATATTGCTGGTTTTGCAAATTTCTTTATAGGTGACATGATTCGATTTTCAAAGCTATTCATTACTTAGTACAATCGGCATATTTTTTTAGTTGTTATATTTTTAAAGTGAAAATATGAATTACTAGTTGTTGTCCGCGGCTTCACCCGCGTATAATTTGGTTCGTCACATTAAGTTTCGTGACAGACCATTTCAAACAAATAATTACAATATTTTTTCATCAACCCAAAACTTCAGCTTTCCAACTTCAAATCTGACAAATTTCAATAAAATCTTTGAACCACTATTTTCCTCTAGTTGCCAAGATATTCTTGTTCACACTCAAAAGTAAACATACGAGTAGAATACAAAAATAAACAGATACGATGCAATGGAACAATGAAACGATTACTGGTTTTTCGTAATTTCCGTAGACATTATTTTGATTCTTCTCTCGTGAGCGAAAAAATATCATTTTTTATTTTAACATTGTTGAATACTGGTTGACTCTGATACGACTATCATTTCGACATGATTTTTAAAATTCAAATGAATACAGTGTATGAAATTAAACATGAAAATGAATTTTTGTTCTGAACATTACTTTTATAGCTAGAATTAGAAAAGTTTATAAATGCTCCCGATTATATTCATTTTGAACTCATTCACGGTACGTTTGTACAACAGTGATATTCATGACATCATCGATTCAGAACTAGTTCTAAACTGTGACAGTTTGAGAAATCCACACGTCCAATACTTTTGAAGTTTCACTTCATTGGACGGTTCTAGTTCAACCTAACAAGGCTTATATTCTCTTTTCCTTTTTGATATCAAAAACTAAATGCAGAAAGGAGCATTTTCATGCATGCTCCGATTTGAGTTTCAAGAAAATCACATAAACCACTTACAAAAATAGATCCCTAGAGACAAAATTATTTGTACATATGTAATGGTATAAAATAAATAGGAGACAAAATGTACATCAATCAAACATGAGATTGAACAACTTTAGATCAACCATAAAATCAAACAACTAACATCATATACTTCACAAGTAGTCGTGAAATATTTTCCATTTGTTGAATATGTGAAAATTTAAAATAATGAATAGATCAAAGGCAAAGATTGTTAAATTCACATATCTTCTGTAACTGCTGGAAAATTTTTCACAACATATAAAATATTGTTTGGTCACAACGCAAAATCATCTAAGAATCAGGAAATCCAGTTCTTCTACAAGAAATTGGTCATGAAGTAACAAAGGGTGAGTAAGGGTTTCTCTACTTTTTCACATACATATCGACATTAAGGGTTCCTGGAATATCACTGAAATAATGTCAATCAGAAATTTTGAATCATTCCATACTTTCATATTGTTTCAAATGTCACTAATTCATCAATAGAGTTTAATTAAGGACGTTGCAGCTCACCAAACACAAACAACATTGCCTATGAATCTCACATCTTCAGAAGCCAGTGCAACTATTATTAAAATAAAGAAGAAACTAATTGTGAATGAAGATATATTCATGTGCATAGGAATTACCTATTCGATTTGAGAAAATGTTCTCAAAGGGATTCTCATTTTCATTTAGCCTCATACAACTACAGTAGACTGCCTTTTTTATATCCGCATAGATTTTGTAATAATTAATAATACTTCCATTTGAATTATAAAGGAGCAAATTTTCAGGGAAATTTTGTTCAATAGATAGATAATGATAGAGAAATGGAACGCCAAGTTTTTTTAAAAAACTTCTATATAATTTTAGAGTTCCAAATTTAGCTGATGAAAATATTTTGCCATTTACATATGTTTTGCTTCATATCTGGTAGATAATGATAGAGGAATGAAAAGCCAAAAAGTTTTTTTAAAAAACTTCTATATAATTTTAGAGTTCCAAATTCAGCTGATGAAAATATTTTGCCTTCTCCATATGTTTTGCTTCATATCTTAACAACAGATATAGTCCAAAACCAGAAATAACATTCGCCAGAAGTAGCGAATATCCATAAAACAAACAAAAACAATCGCTTTCAGAATATTTCACTGATTCATCATATATGGAATCATCATCATTCTTAAACCTTACTATAAACAAAAGTCCAGGAACCCTCATTGAACAGGAGAAGAAGGACTCTACCTAAGGTAAGTATACACAAAAAATGACATTCAACATTCACTTAAATGGGATTTATATTTCATAATTTCGAAATTTGCTGACAACCTCACTCGGTGCGTCTGCTCCCCAGGCAGATCCGCTTCCACGTCCACCCCAATGAAGATTGGCACCACCTTCGGATGCCCGCCGTTGGGCGGCACTTACGGCACCTGCACCAAGACTCGAAGGGCCTGATGAACCACCGGATTCCAGCATACGATCCTTAGTTTTTGGAGTGGTCCAATGCATCGACTGAAAAAAAAAAGTATCTGCCGAATTAAATACATAATATATTTCTGAAAAGGAAAACTGATGACTTGATAGTGTTGTGTAGTGTGATTTTGCTGCTCACTTTCACTTCCTAAATTATCACTGTCAGACATATTTCATTTTTAATTATTTACAAAAATTATTTAATTATTAAAAAACAGGTTATATATACTGTAATAAACAGAACTGAATAGGAACATCATATGTATTCGAGCTAAATGTGGTGAGAGAGATAGTGTAACGCCGAACTAGTGGGAAGAGAATCACACAGTCGCTTGCGCATAGCGACCCGTCGCCACGGCATGCATTACGACGCCAGCAAACGGTTTTACGTGCAGCTATAGAAGTTTCACATCAAATATATGAGACTCAACAGTATGCAAGATACAGGACTATTCCAATTTCAGTCTCATGTGAACGATAAACGTAAAAGATAACAGAGTTGCCTTTTTCACAATACTATTGAATTATATAAAAAAATCATTTAGCTCTTTTGTTCCCAGAGATATATGAAAATGATATTTTTGGTTTACATGACCACGTAGGCAGCTATAGCTACCTGCGTGACATCCGGGTCCAGGATATAAATACAGATAGAGATTTTTTATCGAGTTTGTATGATACAAATCGAGAATGAAATAATTCGTGGACACAACACTCAATCAGGAAATTTATCAATTTATCTACCTGAATGACCAGTGAGGAGCAGCACCATACAGAAGTAAATACGTAGTAGGTACCCAATATTGGAGAGTGTAAAATGGTTGAAAATTATAATTTATTCAAAATTCTTGTGTGAGGAAACTATTGTAAAACAAAACACGTGTCGGGGTTTTTGTAAAACCCTTATAGCGTAAATATTGAAGTTTGTATCTATCAGTTTTTGTTAGAATGGAGTTTTATCAAAAACCCGCCGGTTCTGTCCAATAATTTATTAAAATTATTCAGATGAAAATTTACATTGTTTGATATATATGACGTTTCAGTTCCAATTGTCTGTAATGGAACAGAGTGAATTCATGTTCACGGTATCAGTACACGAAACAATAATTGCATTTCAACAGAAAATGTATAATTCATTGAATAAGTTCTCCACAAGTAAGCAAATATTGTTATTTCAATATTTCATACTAATTCATCGATGAAAAGTTCTTTAAAACTTCTAATATGATCATTTTGATATGATATTTTGAGATAGGCATTTGAGCCATATTTTGCGCTTGTCGATATTCGTGGGTAATTTACTCAGTTTGCGAATTGAAAAAAACTCTTTGGTAAAATTTTGCTTCGTAATGCACGAAGAGTTCCTGATCGGGATATACCTAATCACAAACGCGAATTCCTTCATAAACACCGATTCGTCCGCTTCAACAGGTTGCTTAGGACGAGATAAAAGCATAGAGAGACAACTCTTTTGATCAATATTCTCACAGAGTTGGGTGTTGATATTTTCAAATGTTCATTAATGTGTTTGTTTCCTTGAAATCGATAACGACGATGTTTCTCATGTGGAATAATTTAATTCAGTCTAAACCATTCGACACAATATTTCGGTTTCATATTTAATCGTAGTCATGGGTGGTCAAAGAAATACACACGAGAGAAAGTAACTGAATCAAAACTATTTTCAGAGTTTGTTGACCGTCGTCTGCAATTTTTTTTAACACTGTGTGTAACTACTAGAGCCCTCCCATACGTCATCGCTTTCGATAATGTCTATCGCAGTCGTAGATGAGACCTACAAACCATGGCCAACAAAACCAGAAAATAACTTCGACATATTGCCATGAGTGCTTGAATTATTTTGCTTTTGATTTGTTAAATCTGAACACTGGATGAACTTTTTTTTGTGTGATTCATATATTATATAATGTCTTATTTTTCCGAGGATTTTTCTAAACTTATCAGTTATTCAACTCTCAATTCACCGCCTCTTCAAGTGCAAGATATCTAAAGAATCCATCTTGGACCAAATTTTTGAGCAGCAGAACTAGAATCTACATAAGGAGAAAAAGCAAACTCATCGTGAGTAATTCTGCAAACGTCTATGTTCGAAGGATGATTCATTCAAACCAGAAGCGAAAAAGCCCTACATACCTAAAGTATTGCCAGATGTAACTGTCGTACAAATGCATCATATAAAAAGTTTGTTGCGGCTATTAAGGTACCGTACACCTTCAACATTCAACAACCACAATATAGAACAACCAACTAGAATACCTTTAGTATGCCATTATACGTATCTAAGCGCCCTTTCACACGGGGAGCTTCACGTCTTTCTCCCGAGAGACAGGAAGGCTCTTAGCGCAAAAATGCAACGAACTTTCAGACGACGAGCGGGAGTCGCCACACGAGAGCTCTCACGTCACCTGCACCTTGAGCCGGGGAACCACGTCTCCCCCTCGAGATGCAAGAGGACGAGTGGGGGCTTCTACACGAAGAATGAAAACGGCTTTCCTTAGTTGACGCTTCACTATTTATCGTGGCAGATTACGATGTGGAGCTATTAATTAGTGCTGTCTGCAACAGACCCGCTCTTTGGGGTGAAAGTCTCGACATTTATAAGGACCGAATTGAAGTTTTAAACAGTTGGATCTGCAAGGTGATCAACGTAAATTCCACAACTTAATCCATCCCATTTTTTATCGTTGACGTTTCTGTCGTCGAAGTTGTTATCGACAGAAGAGGAGGTATATGGCAAGAGCTCGCGTGCGATCCATTTTACGACTGACCTCAAGGAGCCAGGAACAAAAAAGGTCCCGGTGTAAATGGACGGTGGATAGGAGTCATAAACGCTTCCGTAAAGAAGCGAGATACGTGAAGCTCCCCGTGTGAAAGGATATTCCAGAAGTTGGTATGATTCTAGAGCTGCACAGTCTGACCTGGATGACTATACGTTTTCTAATTTAGGTAGTACAGGATATTTAATAGATATTCATTTTATGTTTATAATACGTACGAATATCGTGAGGATATCCATGGAATATCCATATTGGGACACCTTCCGAATGGTCACAAAATGGATATCCAGCGGATATCCATGCGTGGCATTTTGTGAAGAATTGATATGGTTCAATAGAGAATAAAGTATAGATATTTTGATTCATAATTTCTCAATATTGTATCTGAAATACAATATCTGAAATACGAGAACACTGAAGAACTAGGATAAAGTAGATACATTCTAACCCTGCTTATACATTACAAGTGTTATGACTGTTGTTATTTGTTTCATGACGATCTCTTGTTTTATCTCTTATAAGTTAGGTGAGAATTAAAGGGTAGCTAAGATCTCTTTCAGATATTTTGTTTCACTCATGTAGAAACTCTAATAAATATCTTTACTAAGTTCAAAGTGTTCATACTGTGCACGTTATGCTGTAAATAAATTATTATTCGATACAAATAAAGTATAATCGTTTCCACATATCAGTTCGGTATATTTGTTAATTTATATTCAACCCTTTCTTATTCGATTATTTCTGGTATTTGATACATGTAATCAATCTTACGAACTCTATCTGGTGAGTTGTAAACTCTCAACTGTAGAAGGTAGGCATACTACATACTTGGATTACCGGAACAAATGGCTAATGACCATTTTATATAAACAAATATTCAATTGGTGAGATTTTTCACTCGCAAATGAAGTGTACAAAGACATCTTGGAAAACCGCAATGATTCTGATGCCAGTTAATGATAAACTGGTACTACTTCAACAGATGCCGCATGAAATTTTATAGTACAATAGTACAACAGAAAAAACGTTCATTTTGACAATTATTGATTCACGAGAGTGTCCGATGGACTTATAACGTTGGTTGAATCAAAAAAACTATAAAGCCCAAAATACTGTAAGGCTCTGCCTTCCTATGCCCATTCTTCAGGATACACCTCCTAATCAGTGTCACTATTTTTCGAGTTTGAAGGTCGTAGATTTTTGGAATTTTTTCCTGACGTTTTTCTGGCACGAGTGGCTAACTTTCTCAGAGGTTTATACATCCGGAGTTATTATCTCAAGACCAGAAACAATCTATTAAGTCTTCCTATTCAGAAGAGTCGTTTTTGGCAATTTGCTACCAATTTAGACGTTACTCAGTAGGAGCAAAGAGCTTCCAACGCCGCTTGACTGTCCGAGAATATTTTCATTGACTAATGTATGAGGTTGAATTATTTCAATCTCTCCACACCCAATTCAATAGCGTAAATTTCCGCTTGAAATACAGTCGCATCGGTTCCTAGGCAGGTTGATATGTCTGTCTTGGGTCTGCGACTGAAAACACCTGCACCGAAACTGAAAGGTGTTTTTGATCCATCTGTGAACCAATAACTATCTGCTCTTAATATTTCCATCTCCCGGAGGATCCAGTCCTCTCTACTCGGGAACAGTATTTCATAAGAACTTTCCTAGTTGACAGTTTGAGGCATAAAGTCAAAGGTCATTTCCAAAATGCTGTGACTTCCAGTGTCAACCAACAGTCTGCATGAAAATCTTTTGGTGAAACACAACTTCATAGCCGTTTCCAAACACACCAAGAAGATAATACTGAGCGTCAGGTCGGCTAAAGATAAAAGGGATCCATTATCAGCATACCGTGAACTTGTGGGTATAGGTATACAGCTGTGGTAGAATACGCACTATGTGGAGAAAACCACAGGTTTCTGTTTGAAAACACGAAACTCATTGCCCTCGACCAGGGATACCATAACCGACTGGTACGGGAGGCAATAGAAATTCACAGACACACGGATAATTTCAACAGAAAAGAAGAAGCTGTTAACCTCAATCGAAGCTGGAATCCCATTCTAAGGAGTTCAAGAATGGCAAACAGCATGACGGCAGGTAGAAAAGGGTCAAGGAATGTTTTTGATAATCTACCAAATCCAGGTAAAGGTATTATTACTACCTGAATCAACATAAGAACGCTTTACGTAACTCACCTAATCCAGATACAGGTATTAGCACACCACTACAAATACGCGTTACGCAGCGGTAATTTTCAGTCATCGGAGATAATAACTCTGGATGTATAAACCTCTGAGGAAGCTAGTCACTCGCGCTATCGAAACGTCAGGAAGAAATTCCAAAAATTCACGGCCTTCAAACCCGGAAAATAGTGACAATGAAAACCACGGCCGCGAAATTAACCATTTAGACACTTCTTAATATATCGATCACTTAGCCAGTGACTACAGTTGAAAGGTTTATTAAAAAAAATGGAAATTTTCTCCACGTTAATTGAGAAGGTGGCTTAAAGTTTCACTATCATAGACAATTCGCAACCAATTTACAGAAACAATAGCTATGTTTCAATCCAATGAATTTTTGATCAAGGTTCCTGAATAAAATACTTACCTGATGAACATGTTCCTTCATTCCTAGCCATTGTTTGTATGTAATCGATATTCCACTGTTTCTCCACTTATCATAGTTACTTTTTTTTTCTGGATCACATAATATTTCTTTGGCTTCCTGTAAAAAAATAAAAATAAACACATTCTAGTAATCCATACATAGTAACACATTCCATACAAAAGCCAATATCATGTAAATCTTCTCTAAACAATCAAGGAACAATTTTAGTGATGTTGAAATACAAATCCGATTTTTTTTTCATTTTGATATTATGGAGCTAATTTAAAATATAGCAAACATTGATTTATGAATTTTTCCTTGTATGAAAACCCTCAATTACTATGAAAAACTAGTCTACAAAATAGTATTACACGTCAGGTCCGCCAATGTACCATCACTGAACACAGCCATCCGAATTTTGTGCTGTGAGGCCACATTGTCATCATGGCAACACTTCTCCAGTGAACGGGACTAGGGTATACACAGTTACAGAGGCAAATTAGAAAATTAGATCAGTTTCCAGATCATTTTGAGAATCGCGTCGAGAACAGACAAGCGTCAAGGTTAATAGGGAAATCATTTCAAAGTTTTGAAGTAGTTCGGCGGGCCTCACATACATGGAATTTAGAGCTGAAATGGTCATGCCGACAACAACTGGGGCAATTCTGCTTTTCACTTATAGGGCTTCAGGCTCACCTCGTTCCAATGGCAGAGGTGAATGGCAGCAATCGTCGACTCACTTACGTCCAGCTCACCTCGTTGAAGACTACGAGAATCGAAGCAACTCCACAAAAACAGAGTATCTTTATGGTCCTGCACTCGTTGCAGATCAACCAAGTGATGGTTGATCTTCCCAGCCACAAGCTCAGCACGCTAAAGAGACTGAACAGATTGGTCACTGTCGGGTGACTTCAGACATCTGATCACCTTGGAATATCAAGAATATTTTTGAAGTTTTCTAGTGGCGAATAGTGTCCCATTGGTGGCTAGTATCACCGGTGATGAAATTATATAAACTGTAGTTGAATTAGTAGGTGTTGAGTTAATAAACCAAATTACTGAGTTGATTAGGCATCACATATAATGTATTATTAAAAACTCGTTACATTGGCAATGGCGGTATTGGAAAAACAGATTAAGGCAAGTTCAGTATATATGATGAATAAACGTGCAAATAATTACGGCGAAATGGAGGTGGAAATGGAAAAAGGAAGCAGAAAATGACGCAGCAGAAGGTGGGAAAAACGCCACACCAGGAGAAATATAATTTAAGTAGGTACGACAATTACAAGATATCAGCTAAGAATATTTATTCCAGAAAAAATCGAAAGAAGTCGATGCAGTGAAATAGGATCAAAGTCAGAGAAGAAGCAAAATCTTTCAGTGGCCGAGTAAAAGGATTCAAAATCGAGTTGAATAAAATCAACTATCAGGTTATGGGATGAGTGGAAAAGAATTAAAATCTTCCAAAAACACTTTTTCCACATCACTACAAAAAATACTATCTCTCGACGCGCGTTTCGCTAACCAAGTTAGCATCATCAGGAGATGATTAGGAATCGCGCGTCGAGAGACAGTATCTTTGTTCTGGCGGGGAAAAATATTCATAATAGAATCATTCTATACCAGAAAATTCGAATTCTATTTATCAAGAATTTGAATGGACCTATGAACTGATTGAAAAAAAAAACTCTATAATATCCACATAGCCAACCAACCGACTTCTGTTGGTCTGTGGAAACTGCGGCTGAGAGAAAGTTGACGCAGTATAAAATAGTAATATTATTGAAAAAGCAACGTTGAAAGAGAAAATCTACAAATGAAGTCATCAGTAGTTCGAATAAACAACTAAAATGGCCCATCATGTGGTATCATAGTTCGACCCAATGTGAAAATTTTCAAGTTCTGGTAATTTTTCTTGTTGACCTGAGATTTCAATACTCTTTGAAAGTGAAAGTGCGAGTGTAGAAAAAACGTATCAACATTGTTACCCCGATCGTAAAACGTTTCCTAGTTTTTGCATATATTTTGAAAAATGTTGCTTTAGTGAAACAAATTCTGGAAAAGAAAATACCATCACCACTGATTACAACGCAGGTCTGGTTCTTTAACATGTTAAAAACCACACTAAGACATCTCTAAAAAAAGATCTAATGCTGAAATTTCAACTAATTCCTGCAATGGGATTCGTTCATATAAAACAAGACACCATTAATTGGAACAAGAGGATCTGGAAAGTTAAATAATCTCACAAATTAATTTCTCAGTAGCTAAACTTCAACAAAACTCCTTGCATAGGTACTTGTCACATTGTAAACTTCGAGTTAAAAGCGCCAAGGTGGCGAAGTTCCATGAATATTTCAGTGAAATGAATTCCTCTTTATCAAATATTTCGGGAATAATGAAGATGTCTATATACGAGGATAACATACTCGTACTCGCGTTGAAAATATGTTAGATCTGACCGATACTTAATATTATTGGAGTTCTTTCCCAACACCAAACCGTTATTTTAATACCTCGACACGCGTTTCGATCACCAAGTAGTCATCTTCAAGAGAAAGTTTGATGTTCTTCTTGAAAATGATCACTTGGTGATCGAAACACGTGTCGAGGTGTTCAAATAACGGTTTGGTGTTGGGAAAAAACTCCAGTAATATTCATTACTACACCAAAGGTTACGATAGCGTGACGCTATCGTAATGCGAACATTAAAGTGTGTTTTTTGAATACGATACTCGTATGAAATATTAGTAAAGACTAGTGAGCACAATCATTACGCCTTATTTTACCCCAGGACTTGACGGTTATCATAACGATTATTATGTAATGCATAATTCATTTAACTCTGCTAAGAAATATAAAAGTCAAGAAATTCTGGATAAGATCAGAAAATAAATCATAAATATTGATGAAAACATCCACAAGTCATTCTCAATACGCGAACAGATCATTGAGCTTCAGGCAAGACAAGCATTATAATCAAACAATAAAAATTCACAAATGAATTCTGGAAAATATAAAATAATGAACTGTCGCTGTGCAGATACTTTGAAATAATTAAGTTATGAAATTGAAAAAGAGAACATTGCAGAACTCTCATAAACAGTTTTTTTCAATTGTGGCTTTATCAAAACTAATACTTCTCCTTTATATCAGAACTATATGATACTCTTCTCAATGCACGTTTCATCAAAACAACTATAATATCTCCTGATGATGCTAACTTGGTGAAACGCAGGTCCAGAAGAATGTTATATACGGTGTTTCATTAAGCGCTTCCTATCTTTGAATTTAAATAAAACTAAGTGTGTGTGAGGTATCATCGACATTTTTTATTCGTTTGAAAGACCTACTGATGTCATTTATTTATTTATTTATTTATACACTGTTCTACATGTTATACCTAACTACAGAACAGGAATATAAGTCAAATCACAATACAATACAATTACAATGAGTTATAAGATAAAAACAATACATACAGAATTAGCTGAAGAGAAAAGACCCAATCTCAGAGATGGAACAACAAAAGAATTGCATTTGTCACACATGTTATACAGAGGTGAACGTTTCAGAATATTTGTACTTGGTGTTGGCAGATAAAAAGGATCAACCACTCTAGAGGTTGGTCTAGGTACAATGAAATTGAGTTTTTGCAGAATATATGGGTCAATAATTAAATTATTAATCAGTTTAAAAAGAAAAATTTTGGGGTGACAATCACGGCGGCAACTCAAGCTATTCATAGCATGTCTAGCTAACAATGCATCATGGTGAAATCCAATTGGTGGATAGATATTGCCTGATCTATAGGAGAGAAGTTTCAGGAAACGACGTTGTACTAATTCAACACTCTCTGTATACAACTGATGAGATGGATCCCAGATTATGGATGCATATTCTAATTTTGATCTGACGAAAGCATAGGTTTTCGATGTAGATGGATCCGAGAAGTCTCTGGCGATTCGTGCAATCTGTTTAGAAATCTGTTTTAAGTCTGTTTTTCCGTTTATCAGCTGTCGCCCCCATACGAACGACAACTCTCAGAAGTTGAGAAACTTGTGCGAGCTAAGGACTAACGAGGGCTTACCTTTTTAACGTGTGATTCCTAACACAATAAATCCATACATTATATTTGCAGCAGACAGAGTGGCTTCAATGTGTTGTATGAAGGAAAGTTTTGTGTCGAAGGTAACACCTAGATCGGTGAATGTGAAAAGGCCGTTGAAGTGGAATATCGTTTATTGAATATTGATATGAAAATGGACGATTTTTTATTGTGTACGTCATTACATTACATTTACTCGCGTTTAAAGGAAGATTGTTGCGAAAACACCATTGCTCAACACGTTTCAGCTTGAGGTAGAGTTGAAGACAGTCATCGATGCCTCGATCTCACAATATAATTTCAGGTCATCCGCATATATCAAACAGTTGATATCAATGACCACAACTATGTCGTTTATGAAGGCGTTAGAGAGAAGTGGAACTAGGTTCACTGACGCCTGTCAGTGAAGTATGATATGAAAAGTTGGATCAGGGTCAGAGAAAACCCATACCTGTACAATTTCGATAGCAGTAATCCGTGATCAAGTCTGTCGAACGCGTTAGAGAAGTCCATATATATGACATCAGTTTGGGATCTCCTATCAATGGTTTCATTCTAATTTTGATCTGACGAAAGCATAGGTTTTCGATGTAGATGGATCCGAGAAGTCTCTGGCGATTCGTGCAATCTGTTTAGAAATCTGTTTTAAATCTGTTTTTCCGTTTATCAGCTGTCGCCCCCATACGAACGACAACTCTCAGAAGTTGAGAAACTTGTGCGAGCTAAGGACTAACGAGGTCTTACCTTTTAACGTGTGATTCCTAACACAATAAATCCATACATTATATTTGCAGCAGACAGAGTGGCTTCAATGTGTTGTATGAAGGAACGTTTTGTGTCGAAAGTAACACCTAAATCAGTGAATGTGAAAAGGCCGTTGAAGTGGAATATCGTTTATTGAATTTTGATATGAAAATGGACGATATTTTATTTTGTACGTCACTACATTACAATTACTCGCGTTTAAAGGAAGATTGTTGCGAAAACACCATTGCTCAACACGATTCAGCTTGAGGTAGAGTTGAAGACAGTCCTCGATGCCATTGATCTCACAATATAATTTCAGGTCATCCGCATATATCAAACAGTTGATATCAATGACCACAACTATGTCGTTTATGAAGGCGTTAAAGAGAAGTGGAACTAGGTTGCTTCCTTGTGCCATTGAATATAACATACTGACGCCTGTCAGTGAAGTATGATATGAAAAGTTGGATCAGGGTCAGAGAAGAGCAATACCTGTACAATTTCGATAGCAGTAATCCGTGATCAAGTCTGTCGAACGCCTTAGAGAAGTCCGTATATATGACATCAGTTTGGGATCTCCTATCAATGGTTTCAGAAATATATTGAGTAACATTGAAAAGGTTGGTGATTGCCTAGTGACCTTTCATAAAAACATGTTGAAGTGGTGTATTTTAATTGCTCGAATGAGGATATAACCTGCTGTAGATAAAAATTTCACACTTTGGCGAAGTTGAAACCACATGTCGTTGGTGTCCATATGATCCAATTCAGGCCAAAAAGAGTTGGTAATCATTGACCTATAGTACTCGCCGTTGACAGTTATGGCCTGATCAACCAAACAGTGACTTTTTTGGGATGCATTGGATCTCACGTGGATTGATATCGTTCCAAATTCGATAATTTTGTTCGTTTGCATACCCATTCATCCAGAAATGGTCCTCATCGCTGAAGATTTTTCGATAAAAATTAGGGTCAGTTGTCAACTGCTCGAGTCCCCGTTGTCTATGGTCGTTCACGTTTAGTTCCTGAGTCAGTTGAATTCTGTAGGCCCAAGTCACGACGCAAAATTCGCCAAGTTGTGGTCTGCGAAAGGCAGAGTCCTTGTGAGCGGCTGCCTCGGCGTTTAGTCGACGTACGGGTGTTTATGACGACCATAAAATAGGCGAACCACGCGGAACGTTGTCCGAACAGAACACCCATTATGATAAATGTTGAATGCTAAATCCTTTCCGTGGTGATTTGGCAAAACATAACTAATTTGACTGATGTAGCTTCAACAAGATGGCCGTTATCAATTGTCAAAGTTGGAAGACTCGTTAGCTCTAGTGTGTAAGATCCAATTCAAGTCTTTATTCACTGAAATTTATTTTATGTACATATATGAAAGGGTAAATATGAAACTCAATGAATTTGAGTGACGCAGTTCCAGTTAATTTGTTTCTTTTTGAAAAAATACAAGCCAATGAAGTGTATTTTCATTTCATTTGAATTAGTCTCAACTGATCGAGATTTCCATAAAAAAAATCATCAATATTATTCTGTTTCAATTATCGATGTAGTAAATAGGTACTTAACCACTCCACCACTAGTGCGCCATTAAGATTTCCGCCTTAAAGAGATTTATTTGATTCATTAGTGGCATCATTGAGAAGATTTGTTTGTTTTTCATTTCCGATTTAGTTCTATTGTTTCTTTGATGCCCCTTAGATTTTCCATACGATTTAGTTCTTCAATTTCCTTCTGTCTTTCGTCAACTAGAAAAAGTACTGGCAATTTACCATGGATGGCTTTCAGTTACATGGAACTTGTGTCCTCTGTTGAAGTAGATTTCAAACTTCTACATTACCACGAGGAAGTGAAATATTTGGATTATTTTTGAAATTCAAATCAACAACAATATCTATCATCTTGGTTATTACCCATTGCTCAAAAAGTGATCATTAGCTTTTTCCTATGTTGATTTATTCATCAGTCACTTCAAAATTTTTCTCAACATTGGTAAAAACTTATTTTTCAGTCATTTGAAAACGACTAGATATGCATTTATTCCACATCCTACTTTTGAATAACGATAATGAAAAATTATTGAAAAAGAAAAGAGATGCATTTATACCAAACTTGATGAGTTGAGATAAACGGGTAAACAACACCAGTAAATGTAGAATAGCATAAGAGAGGTCAATAATTGTTATTTCACATATTTTCAATTGAAATGGGACTTCAGTGTATAACACCATCCATTTATATTTTTCAGGACCTCATTCTCGTATTTCAAAATTATTTATAATAATTGAAAAAAATTATATGTTTTTGGAGATGATGATAGTTAATTACTCCCACGAGTAATAATTCCACAAAATGAAAAATCTACCTTAAGTAATTGAAACTTTTGTTCTGCTTCTTTGTTTCCATCATTCTTGTCTGGATGAAACTGAAGGGCCCGTACCTTGTACTCAGCATTTATCTGCTCGATCTGAAAAAAAAAATAAGTTTCCAGTTTCATTTCAATAGTACCTAATGAAGTATTCGGCGAAAAAAAAATGTTTACGAATATTTTATCAAGTATATCTCAATAATTGGAACAATTCAACGAAGCTAACTGAATCAGTCGATAATCAATTACATATATTCACTTGATGAGTAGAATTTGAAACCTCTAGCGTGAAATGAATCCACTGAAAACACCAGAACAAAAATATTGTCTCTCGATGGGCGTTTCGTTAACCAAGTTAGCGTCATCAGGAGATGACAAATTTTAGTTTCCGCCTGATGATGCTAACTTCGTTATCGAAACGCTCGTGAGAACACTTTCCTCTCATCTCCAGTATACGATATAGATAATAATTTAGCGAGTGTTGCTCAACCTTGTCATAGACGAACCACTCAGAAAATATGCAAACCGCAGACACGTGCTTCTGGTTCATTAGCTGTCATCAGTATGGTATAGCCAACAATATCTAAAGGACTTGAAAAATATGACCATCTAAAATTTCTCTAGGAAAGATACGAAGTAGTTTCTCAAAAATAGATTTCAAAAGATTCATCGCGTTAGAGTAAAATCAATCTACTGAAAACCTAACGAAACATTAAATTCAACCTATAGAAAATAAAGATCGTGACTTCATGACAGGTTGATGCAGATTTATAGCTCAAGGATATCAGCATAATGAAAAAATTCAGAATGGTGATGATGAAGGCATCAAATAGCAGAAGAAAAATATAGCAGACCTGTATGATGTTGAAATTGATACTGATGAATCAGATCATGTTACAATTGCTTTATTTATTGTTTAACCTATTTTTATTTAATTTTCATTTCAGGTTGAAATAATTTGTTTTTTCACAAATTAACATTCTTACCCCTTTTTTCTAATTTTACACTCATTGTTCATTCAATCCGGTTTTTTTAGTACATTCAATAATTTCAATATTTTATTCATTTTTATTTCATTTATTCATGAATAGTTATAAAACCTATCAACACCTTATAACAAGACAAAAATGTCACTCGAGATAGACCAGATTTGGCTGAACAAATGAGACAAAACTTATTGACACCCCCATAGAAGAGTGATTATGGTAAAGCTACCTGGCACATAATTAAAGCTAAACAAACAATTCACAGCCCTTCATTCAAGTAGAATCAAGAATCAAGGTGGTGATGTGAATGTGAATTTGAACACTGATGTTTTTATTATTGTTGTTATTCGTCAATAATTTTTCAAATATTCCTTCTCTCTTCTATCACACGAGGTTCTCTGAAGGAAGTTATGAATTAATGAACGATCAGTTAAGAGGCAGTTTTCAAATCATTTTTATGTATTTATAAAGACTTTATGAAAAAACACATCTGTACATTTCCACATCCCCTTGTGTTGAAGAACAGTTATCTGACAGGCGTACTATAAACAGTTATCGCTCAAAACATAGTTGAAATCAATAAATTTTTCAAAATGTTTATATTTCGAAGACCACTCGTAGAAATGAAGTCAAATATCTTCAGTTGATTTCTAATAATAGCTGACATGAATCGATTTCTCATTTAGTGATCGACGTCAAATCATGGCTTTGCAAAACACTTAGATACCCTCAATTATTTTCGATTGGCAATTTTTGGGCTTTTAGAAGATATGCCCATGCTTACTTAACACATGGGCTAAAAAGTCCCGGGTCTAAGAAAGAAAATGCGTTTTCTTTGTTCAAAATTGGCCACTCTGAAATTTCAATACCACTTTTGTAGAACGATTTATCTTTTGCCTCAAAATAGGCCTATAACCTCTCCATTCCAGCGGAATTTCTTACCAACGAGCATTTTCTTGAGGTCTGCGAAGAGCCAGTAGTCGCTGGGAGTCAAATCTGGTGAATATGGCATATACGGGAGCAATTCGAAATTCAATTCATGTAGTTTCGCAATTGTTTTGACTGGCTTGCGACACGGTGCGTTGTTTTGATGAAACAATTTTTTTTGCCATATACAGTCATTTTATTGCAATTTCGGCCTTCAAACGCCCCAATAACGCTATATAATATTCACTGTTGATGGTATTTCGCTTCTCAAGATAGACAATGTATATTACACCATTATTATCCCAAAATACCTAGGCCATAACCTTTCCAGCCGATTGTTGTATTTTCGGGCGATTTGGACGAGGTTCACCAGTTGCTCTCCACTCAGATGACGATCGTTTTAATTCCGGAGTTAAGTGGTGGATTCATGTTTCATTCATTGTCACATATCGATGCCAAAATTTCGGTTTATATTCTTTTAACATGGCCAAACTGCTCAGAATCATCACGGCGTTCTTGTTTTAAGTCAACAGTGAGCTTGCGCGTCATCCACTCTGAACAAAGCTTTCTCATAGTCAAACGCTCATGCAATATAAAGCCAACACGTTTTTTCGATTTGTTAATAATGTTAGCTAACACACGCAACTTCACTTTTCGATCAGCTAGCGCCATCTATGTGTTAGGCCCGAGACTTTTCAGCCCAGGTAGTATATCCTTCTTCGAAAATAATTGAGTCCAGCTTCTGACCAAAGGGTAAGGAAGTCAAGTAGAGAAGATGATGCTCAAAAAATTCATGCGTGTTTCAACCTAGCACCACTGGTTCGATCAATAGTAAGTCAAAACAGTGGTTCCTAGTGTTGGATCACGACTGCTTGGTTTTGGGCTCCGATTTCATGAAATGTGTTATTTCATTTTCATTTCGTGCAATATAGCTCTCATCTATTTTTTTATAAATATAAAACGACTCAACATTGTCCCTTTTATACATTATATTCTACTTGCTTAACCTCCTTAAACTAAAGGATGCTGAACTGGTGTACACTTATAGTGAAATAGGGGAATAATATTTTCATAAACGATTTCGATTTCGATGATTTTTAAAATGTTTGTTTCCAATATATTATATGAAAGGAAGCTCTTCATGGGAGAGCAAAATTATTCATACAGGGTGTAACTAAATAAGTGTAAAACATTTAAGGAGGTGATTCCTCATCGAAAAAAAGATAAGATCTTTCATATGAAGAAATTTCATTGGAGCATCCCTCGTTAAGATACAGCCCCTTAAATGGGGTACATAAAATTTGTATAACAAAAAGTTACAATTTCGAAATTAACCTGAAGTTTTTTACTACTAAAAAGACACTTAGCCAAAATTTATTTGGTTCACCCCATGGTTGTAAGGGGTGGAAAATGCACCCCTAAAATTTATTTCCAATGTAACTTTTTGTCTTATCATTTGTTTACCATTAAAAAATGTATTTCCGATAGCCTGTTTCATTCTAAACAAGAAATGTCTCTTGGGTTTTTGCCCAAAAAAGTTATTTTAGGAACAACTACAGAGAAACATCGTCATAAATGCGAAAATACGAAACTAATCTATCTAGTAGGTCGCTATTAGCGATAGTGACAATTGAATTGATATAACGCTGTCAGTTTGTGAATTTTCGAAATTGAGTTAATACTAACTGTGTGTTATTGTTCTTTTCTCAATTTGTTACTTTAATAATTCACTTCTTATTAAAATGGCATGCACAAATGAGGAAATTGCTGATATGCATTACGTTTACGATCTGTCGCAGGGGAATGGGTTAGAAGCTTCTAGAAGATATGCTGAAATGTATCCTCAACGGCAGCATCCTTCACATAGAATATTTGTTGGACTTCATCAACGATTACGAGAATATGGTTCATTCGACAAAAGAACGCAGGATTGTGGTCGCCATCGAGAAGTACGAACACCACAGCTTGACGAAGCAGTACTTAATTTGATTGAAGAACAACCTTCTACCAGTACCAGAGAGATTGCTTTCCAGCTAAATGTTGATCATATGACTGACGGTATTTCGAATTTTAAAAGAAAAACTCTTATACCCTCACCATCTGCNATATTGGAGCCATAATAAAAATATAATTCAAAGCATTCCATGCTTTTTAACAACAAAATTAATTTTTTGTGAATAGACTTATTCTGATTTCAAACTCATTGAAATTCATTAGTTACATCATGCCATAGCATGTTGAACACAAGCTTGAAGTACTTTCGAATTATTTTTCAGTTTGTGTTGCTATTGAAGCGTGTTTTTTCAGTGTTTTTTAACTATTATTCATTATGGATATAATGATGATAGAACTGAAGAATCTAAGAGATATCGTAGTTACATAAGTTACTCCTATACTCCAATTTATCATTTATTCGAAGAATACTTCTAAAGAGAACAAGGAACAGCAAAAATAAGAAAGTAGTTTCCTTTGCAGAAAAAGTGTCCAAAAATAATATGGACTGAGTCAAGCTGAAAGTGATGCGGATCATTCAGTTGCACAATCACTTCTTCACTTCTATGATGCGGTTGTTGCAGCAGAAAATATTGATGTATACTAGTTTCGATGGCCTTAGCACTTATTTACCACTCAGCACTTCAATGTAACATTTCCACTTGAAACTGAAAACCGATCGCAACATCCTAACATTTTAGCAAATTATCTCTTCTTCATTCATGCATTCACTGAATGTAACACTACCTCCACCTTTTATAATAAGAAAACAGGAGTTCAATAATAATCAAAAAGTCACGTGCATCAGCTGAAATATTCATGGTTGGAGAACCAAGTTGAGAGGTGGGTTTTTTTTTATGAGGGTATTAATTGTATCCTCACAAGGTATATTGCCAAAAACTTGAATGAACTGCGATACAAACGCTTCATAGCATTAACTTCAAAGAAGAAAAGCTGAAATGTTTTCACCAATATACCGAATTGATAGTTTCATTCTGAATGATAAAATCAGCAGTTAGGTACTTTATAGCGGGTAGAGTCAATTATTGTCCGAGCAATTGCGAAATCGCGTTATATTAACCTACAAAGGCAAGTATTTACAAATGCGGTTTTTTCTATTGGTTGGGAAAGGGATAAAAAATGTTCGTAGATAAACAATTTAGTTTTATGTCAACGTTTCGAACTTTATTAAAT